TTCTCATGTGTCCTTACCTCCTCATCCCTCACTCCCTAACTGTCCGTGCTGGATCTGTCCCCGTTGTTTTAAAAAGCTAAATAAGTTATTAGCATGACGTCATCCAGCTAGCCAAACCTGTCTGGCTCTCTTGGGTGCTTGATAAAGACAGGGCGGTTAAAAGAACCAACCAACTAGAAAGTCCTCATGACAATGTAACCCAATATAATTGCAACAAACTCGTCAATTATTTGTTTTTGCTGATTTATGCGGTTGATGTGACAAAGTAGGAACATGATGAAACGCCCACAAAAAGCAGATGTTGCTCAGAGACTCTACTGCAGCTACAAGTACAACAACTAGTGTCAGAGCAAAGTTGATCTTTACTAATGTCTGCCTCTGTATCATCTCTGTGAGGTGATCGATGAGCCTTCATCAACATGCAGTCTGTCTTACATTAACTCTGCTTGTCTCTTCAACAGCACTTTGCGGTGGAAACACTCGGCTCGTCAGTGCACAAGTCCCCGTTTTTACGGCAGCTGAAGGGGAAACTGCTTCACTTATTTGCCAACCATCTTCGTCTGGAAACAAGAAGTTCTTCTGCAAGAACAAATGTGAAGCAGAAGATATTCTCATTAAAACAGATGGCAACACAGCTCTCAATGGCAGACACAGCATTAAATACACAAACGGTTCTTCTGGAGGAGATCTGACTGTGACCTTCACAAATCTGATCAGGTCTGACTCAGGACGGTACAGGTGTGGTTTGGGCAAAACTTTGTCTCCAGATTCATACAGTGACTTTGAGGTCAGAGTTTCAGATGGTGAGTTTCTACTCATTGAACCTGATATATTTTGTGTTTTCACCATATTTAATGAGGAAGAAATTAAATCAAATGAAATTGTGGGAAGAATGTGAGTTATTTCTTTATGTTGGACATATGGATTGGTTGCAGCTCCCAATGATCTTTGTTAATGTGAAGCTGGAAATATTGTGATCAAACTGAAGCATCTTACAGGAAGTACAAACAGTAACTAATTGTTCATCTTTTCAGCCCCTCTGCAGGATGGAATCTCTGGTTTTATCTACACAACAACTGAAGGAGAAAATATCACATTTAGCTGCTTCAATACTGTCTACGGAAGGCACAAGTTCTTGTGTAAGGACGAATGTAACAAAGAAGACATTCTCATTGAAACAGATGGCAACAGAACTCACAGTGGCAGATACAGCATTGAATATCCATCTGCAGGGAAGATAAGACTGGATGTGACCATCACCCAGGTGACCAAGTCAGACACAGGACGTTACAGGTGTGGTTACGGCAGAGCGCTGTCTCCAGATTCATACTACACCACATCGATTGTTGTCATAGATGGTGAGTTTTTGCTTCATTGAATGTCATGAAAATGACAAAAGCAACCATAATGTGGGCTATTTTACATTTCATTTCCCCGCATATTGCAAGTGTATACAGGTGAATTAAAGTCCTGGAGTTGATACCTGAAACAATAGTCTATATTGTAAATGTCTATTTGTAATAAAGCGGCTGAAAACAAAATTAAGAACATTTCTTTTGCCTCCACATGGCTCTCAACATGCAGACGGCTGAGCCTGTGGCTGGAAGCTAAAGGTGCTAACAATGGCAATAGTGCTGACAGAGCTAACAGTGTTTATCCGAGGGGGAACTGGCGCTATCGGTCAGGACAAGCCGATAGCGTCAGAACTGTTGAAGATGCAGTCACGAAACTTTACAGGTGTGTAGTTGAGATCGAAATAAAGGCTGAGCTCAAAGATGGGTGTGAACGCAGCAAAGGGGTATGAAGCAGAGGGGTAGGAAGTAGGGACGGGGCCATTGGCACACCACACTTGCCTGACTTGGCGTCGCAGTTGTGATCCCATCGAGATGGTCTCTTTTCATTGTATTTTTGTTGTTCACAGCACCAACTACTTTCCAACCGTTTCCAGCATCAATCTCCACACCAACAACAACTCAGAGTTTAAGCTCCAGTTCAGGTTTCCCATCAGTTTCCACTGAAACCAGCGGCCAGTTTACAGGTACAGTTCACAGAGCCTGTTTGTCCTGCTGCCAATCAGTGTCTCAACTTCATCTTCTACAAAACACTTGTGAAAAACTTTAAAAATGAAGCATCAAAACGGTCCAATAATAATAAAATGTCCAGTTTCTGTTTCAGCACACAAGCACAGTTTCAGGAAACATCTACACCAACGTCTGTTATTATATCAAAATAGGAAGATTTTTGTCATTTTTTATTAATAAAGGTGACATGTTGAGTTTTCTTGTAAACGATGTTTACATTTTAAATGCAGTTCCCTCCTCATAAAGGTTTTGAACATCCATGTTTTACCCAGGAGGTAACCTCCGGTTGTGATGAGCGACGCCAATGCTGAAGTGCCTTAAAGCTGCATTCTCTCTAGTGTCCACCAGGGGGCGACTC